TCAATGACATGAGACAAAGTATATGTGAACTGCTGTATGAAAAGTGAATTTACTCTGTAAATCTTCACCCAAATCCTAATAAAAAAAAATAAAAAATAAAAAAAATCTGACACAACCAAGGAAAGCTTAATGAAATATATTATTATAACAAATACACATACACACATTAAATAGATACATGCAATCAGATAAAGGAAATAGTGTGTATGTTCAGATGTTTTGATGGTATTCTGCTTATGTCTTGTAGAGGAGGTGCACACTAAAGTATTTAGACATGAAATGATATGCTATCTGGACTTTGTTCTAAAATAACATGGGGAAATACATGGAGATGCAGATGAAACAAGATCAGCCATATGCTGGTTAACTGTCGAGCCTAGGCAATGGCACATACGGGCTATAATACAGTGAGTTACTTAATATGGGCCTTGTAGCCAGTCTTCATTAATTCCTACCAAATGAGTGTGTTGTTCTTGTTGTTAGATGTCGTTGACTTGGCTCCAATTCATAGCGACCCTACGTACAACAGAACAATACACTGGGCAGCAAGTGAAGTTGTGTCATCTGTGTATCGCAGGTTGTTAATCGGTCTTCTTCCAATCCTGATGCTACTCTTCTTCATACAGTCCTGCTTCTGATTATCTGTTCAGCATACAGACTGAAAAGGTATGGTGAAAGGATGCAACCCTGATGCACTCCCTTCTTGAGTTTAAACTATGCAGTATCCCTTTGTTCTATTCAAAAGACAGCCTCCTGGTCTATGTACAGGTTCCTGATGAGCATAATCAAGTGTTCTGGAACTCTCATTCTTCTCAATGTTATCCATAATTTGTTATGATACACACAATCCAATGCTTTTGCATAACCAAAAAAGACAAACGTATTTCTCATATTCTTAGCTTTCAGCCAAGATCTATCTGACATCAGCAATGATATCCCTTGTTCCAAGTCCTCTTCTGAATACAGCTTGCATTTTCTGGAAGTTCTCTACTAATACACTGCTGCAAGTGTTTTTGAATTATCTTCATCAAGATTTTACTTGCATGTGATATTAGTGATATTGTTCAATAATTTCCACATCTGTGTGGGATCACCTTTCTGTGGAATGGGTACAAATATGGATCTTTTCCAATCAGTTGGCCATGTAGCTATCTTCCAAATTTCTTGATATAGACAAGTGAGTGCCTCCAGCGCAGCATCCATTTGGCGAAATATCTTAGTTCCTGGGGTCTTGTTTTTCACCAGTTCTATCAGTGCAGCTTCAATGTCTTCCTCCAATATCACTGGTTCTTGATCATATGCCACCTCCTGAAATGGATGAACATCGACCAATTCTTTTTGGAACAGTGACTCTGTGTATGCCTTCCATCGTTTTTTGATGTTTCCTGCATCATTCAATATTTGGCTGATAGAATCTTTCAATATTGCAACCGGAAGCTTGATCAGTTCTTTCAGCTTGAGAAACGCCGAGTGTGTTCTTCCCTTTCAGTTTCCAACTCCAGGTCTTTGCACATTTCATTATAATAACTGACTTTGTCTTCTTGAGCTGCTCTTTGAAATCTTCTGTTCAGGTCCATTTGCTTTGTTCAAGGGCAAGTTCCAGAGTCTCTTCTGGCATCTATCTTGGTCTTCTCCTCCTTTCTTGTCTTTTAATGATCTTTTGCTTTCTTCATGGATGATGTACTTGATGCCATCCCACAATTCCTCCAGTTTTCAGTCACTGGTGTTCAATGCATCAAATCTATTCTTTAGATGGTCTCTAAAGTCAGGAAGGATATAATCAAGGTCATATTTTGGGTCTCATGGACTTGTTTTAATTGACTTCAACTTCAAGTTGAATTTGCATATGAGCAGTTAATGGTCTGTTCCAGTCAGCTCCTGGTCTCGGTTTGGCTGAAGATACTGAGTTTCTCTATCACCTCTTGCCAAAGTTGTGGTCAATCTGATTCCTGTGTACTACATCTGCAAAGTCCACATGAATAGCCGCTGTTTGTGTTGTTGAAAAAAGGTATTTGCAATGAATAAGTCATTCATCTTGCAAAATGACTGAGTGGCACTATGCAAATTAGGTGATTGTGGTCCACCAATGGGATTAGATAGCTTGCTAATAATGTAAATAAGGTTCACACCATACTTATGGAGGTGGAACCATGCAAATAAGATGTATTGAACCCTAACAAGGGGACTGGTCAGTTGCCATCCCACTAGGCTTAAAATAAGCCATGCTAGAGATGGAAAGGGGGACCCGTCTACCACCAAGAGATGGGAATGGAGTGCGTCCTTTGATCTGGAGTCCCCATGCTGGGAACCTCCTAGACTCAAGAGATAGAGAGCTGTAACATGAGATGGCAAAAAAATGGCAAGAAGCAGCAGCAACAGAGGCAGCAGAACCAGGAGACCAGCAAAAGACAGAATGGTGGGCTCACTGATCCACAGAACAAGAGAATTGAGTGTCTTTGGGCTGAAGTTTACTGGCGGAGTAGAGTGTCTCCAGGAACTTACTGGCAGAGCTAAAGAGCTTTGTAACACTTGCCCTAGCAGAGCATGAGCCAGGCCAGCCAAAATGGCCCATTGAGCGGAAGAGCAAAAAAGAGGCCTGCCTGTGAGCATGACTGAGAAGAGGCTGTCCTGAACGAAGAACTGTATCCTGATCCTGAATTTTTACCTGTTACTTCCCTAATAAACCCTGTAATCATCAGTACTATTTGTGAGTTCTATGTGGCCATTGTAACTAATTATCAAACCCAGCAGAGGAATAGAGAATGCCATGGGAGGGATGGCTAGAGTCAGAATTGGTTTTTTTTAAAAAAAAAAAAAAACAATGTAGGGCTGTTGATCTTGATTCTCTCTCCCCTTTGTGAAGTTAGAGGTTAGATGCCTCTGCTATACCGTTTTTACAAGAGCTTACTCTACTACTTTTGGATATGTTTGAAAATATCCATAACAAGAAGTTAAATAAAATTCATCTTTATTCAAAATCCAGGCATGAGCAACAATAAAGATATGTCTTTAAATCAGTCTATCCTCAAGGAAAAAAACTAAAGGTAGGGTTGGGCCCCTGTGTATTCATGGATTAATAACTAGAGGCTATGGGGAGCTCTGCTGCAACTACTGAAGATACTAATGTTTCAACTCCTCCTGCAATCTTAGCATCACTAATATGAGGACCAAACTGAAAAACTGCAGTCACTTGGGGAACTACTCTGGTTCACAGTCAAATGCTGGTGGGCATTAGGTGCTGATGAGTTGACTTCAACTGATAGTGATCCCATGTGACAGAGCAGAAGTGCCCCATGGCATTTTGTAGGCTGTAATCTTTCCAGGAGCAGACTGCCAGGTTTTTCTCCCACAGACCCAATGGAGCCTTTTGGTTGGCAGCGGAGCCCTTAATTGTATATATAAAATATTAATATTGTGCGCAAATTTAGTACCTTCAGAGCAACCTGTATCTCCAATACCACCTTCCTGGATGCTATTAAAATTGGCAAGACAAATCAGGAAAATCCTTTGACTACAAAGTAATTTCTAAGCATTTTATAATAAACTATATACATTTTCTTTGCCCTGGCATTGAACAGAGCAATAATTTTACTATTAGTCTTATAGTTCTGAAGCAGTATAACAAGTCAAGTTCTTTTACATAAAGCCAGTGACACAATGGTCACTCATGCTTTTAAGTAGAGGAAGGTAAACAATGGGAAAATAATCCAGTTTTATAAGCAAAGTAAAACTGTTCAGTGATGACATCGTCTTTAGTTATTAACACTCCAGAAATTCACAAAACTATAGGAAATACATACATACATACATACATACATAAATAAATAAATAAATAATATTTAAAGTATTATAAATACTTAAGTATAACAAATAAATAGAGTAAACATAGTAAAAGATCAATGTAACCTTCTAAAGACAAGGACAGGTTTATCACATAAAACCATTCTTCACAAAACAATTTAGACTATTTCACTTATGTATCAAAATCCCTTGGACTTTTTAACAAGCACAGAGCCAAAGACAGGGGAATCATCTTGTTTCTGGAACTAAATGCACCATAATATCCTATTCCTTCTCACTTAAACACAATTCTTTTTCTATAAGGTGTTTTATAAGGCTATGTTGGAGCATTCTGCATCACAGTTTATATGACATTTCTTCCATTATTTTAAATACTATGCTGTAGTGATTCCTAGAGTGCTTCATCTACTTTCTTCAAAACTTCCTCTTCGCTCCCCTTTACCTCATTGTCTCTCTTCCTTATGATATTTTTCACCAACTGCTCTCGGCTTCCTACTCTCCTATGCTTCCAAACAGTCCTCAGCTTTTACAGCCATCAGAACTGATGAACCCTGCCAGACTGAAATATTTGATACGCATTGAAATGTTGCTGGTGTTACAGCTTCCACTGGGATACAAGATGCTTAAAAGTTTCAGTTTCCTGAATGCCTATCTAAAATATCATTTCCATCCACATAACCTAGAGTTACTTTCATGATGTATACATGACTTCAATTCTTATTAAAGGGCTTTTCAGTTGAATATAATATTTTTATTAAAAGTTGGAAACTTTCAGCTGCATTTTTCTACATACCATGGACAGATTTCCCAAGAACCCTGAAGACTGTGTAAGCCGTGGAGACCTTCCTCCTGTTCCAAGAATGCAGGAAACATCTGGCTGCTTTAGTAAACTTCGGTTTGGTGGAGTAACTACAACCAAGAGGTTAGTAAAAAGAAGCAAAGGTGCATGAACACTGATCATCAAAACAAAGCAGGCATAATTAATTTTCAGTTCTCAGGTATTTATTTGGTTAGAATCTAACACTTTCATGATTCAAAGATTTAACATCTATTCCTAAATTTGAGTTTCTGAAACTATTGAGCCTTATCAAGAAACTTTTACTGCAAATAGAGCTTTCATTATAAAATAACTAAGCAGTTTTAAAAAAAGAAAATAGTAATGAGTTAATGGATTCTTCATATTCTAATTTTATGAAGTGTAATGAGGTAACAGTATAGTGTAGGGTCTTTGGAGTAAGCACAACACTGTTTGAATCCTAGTTCCATCATTTACAGAATACTTACTTAGCTACATTGCCTATGTTATTTAACTTCTCTGAATCTTTTGAAAAATCAACTAACGAAAACCACAAATCTTACGGATCACAACCTTGTGCCTGAGTTTGCCATAAGTGGGGCGCCAACTTGATGGCAACAAGTCTCACTTTCAGTTTTGATAAAATGCAGATAATATCTATCTCACAATTACTGTGTATTTATGTCAAGTACAGTGATTTGCACATGTACTACAACCATTAAATAGTAGCTGCACTCATTATTAGTGACACTGTAGCCAAATACATTTTTTATATACACAACAAATGTTAGTTTCTATTATGATTAATGTTTTATTCAATGCTTTAAAAGTAAAGTCTTACAAAGCTGTCGAAATGAGCTGGGAGTTCGAGGGATAATCTGGTTTCTTGGTGTAGTGTTAATAAAATTCTCATCTTGGGTTGCTCGAACTGTTAGGAAAGTTAAGAAAAGTTTCCATACAGAAAAGAGATCATTAAAGTTAGAATTAACTGTATTTACACTATATAAAACATAAGAATACATATTTAAAGAACAAGGTATTTTATAGCTACCTTTTTGAAATTTAAAAAGTAATTCTGTTTGTCATTTAAATTCTGAAATGGCAGTCATAAACTACTATAGTGAACTAAGAATTGTTAGTCTGATTTAAAATTTAAAAATCTAATGTCAGCAGAACCTAGCCACAATATGACAGTAAGCAGTAAACAGTATATATCCTTATATTCAGGGAAATTCTCTAACCCAGATTCCAAAGATGCTGCAATTTTTTATAATGATGAATAAAATGTAAAGGATACTTAAAACTTTTTTTTGAGCACTCTGTTTCTTGGCAGTCCGCGTCACCTCTGCCTCTCGGATCACAGGGGATAACATCCCTCCAAAGCCACTCCTAAAATAATCAAGCTCACGTGAATAAAATGAAAATGTAGCATTTGGAAAACATTTTAATATCATGATAAAGGACTGAGTCAGTCAAGACATACATCATTCCAGTAGCCAAATCTTTGATCTTTTTGTTTCATATGCCCTCCTGATTCCATACTCTGATTAAGCCACGCTCAAATCTTACCTGCACAAATTCTTTGACTTTCACTATATTTAAGTTTTCTCTTAGTCAGCAGTAAAAGGGTACATATTCAACAACTGAAATCTAAAATAACAGTTTTAGATAATTGTTTCATGAAAGTAAATATTCTTTCTTAAATTGGATTGAGAAGTTCTCTAATTACAGGGACTACTCATTAACGGGATTGCCTTAAAGCATGAGTACAAAGGAAAAATTGTTGCTTGAGCTGATAAAATGGAAAGATAAATAAAAAAGAATACCAGTGAATTGGAGAAAAACGACCCCTTAAGTTATTTATTCCTATAGTATGATAAAGCTATCTCCTCTCTCACCATTTGTAGCCTCTAACACTCCGGATGTCCAGTCATTCTCACCTGAAGGTCTAGAAACTAGATTATGAAACCTTTTTTAAAACACAAATTGACTTTGCTTTTCCTCCACTTAAAACGCTGATAGCTCTCTCTGGCTTATAGAATCCAGTCCAAATTCCTTAGCATTGTATTTTCTACCTGACTCCAATTAACTGATCCAGTCTGAGCAACAAGTATTACCCCATACAAACATATTCTGCATGTGATCATTCAGGTACACAGAGCAAGCACTTTCATACTCTTACCTTTGCACATGCTATTCCTTTTAGAGGTCTGCTTTTGCCCTCTTGTCCACCTGGTGAACATCTACCTACCTGCAGCCTGGAGGTTAAGAACTCCAGCTATGGAAACAGATCCAGGTTTAAAACTTGGTTCTTCTATTTATTAGCTTCCTAACTTTGACCAGAAGGAATAAATCTGTCTAGGAAGAACTGCCAGAATGCTCCTTATAGGCAGAGGTTGGTGAGACGTCATCTCATGTAGTTTGGATATGTCATGACAACAGACCAGTCCTGCAGAAGGGCATCATGCTTGGTAGAGTCAGGGAAATAGGGGAAGACCCTCAACGAGATGTACTGACACAGTGGCTGGAACAACGGGCTGAAACACAGCAAAGGACCTGGCGGTGTTTCGTTCTGTTGAACACAGGTTGGCTATGAGTTGGACTCTGAGGCACCTAACAACTAATACTATTCAAAGACCAGTTTGAAAGCTAATCCCTTTTGAGAGGCCTTTCTAATATCTCCTGGAATGGGGAAATTTAATAGCTCCCTCATTTACCTCAGTGAGTGTGTGTCAAAAACATTTTCAATTTATACTGCTTAGTAATCTCCCTCAACACACAAAAAATTCCCCAAGGCCAAGGACTTTGAATAACTCCTCTCTGTCGCCGGCGACTAGCACAGTGCTCGGTTCACAGAAGGAATTCAATATTGTAACTACGTGCTGGAACTTGGAATCAAACTCTGGGCAGAGACTGCAGTTTGGTCACTAACTGGTTTTGTGATCCCGGGCAAATTACAAAGCATCTTGAATTCGCGGTCACTACCTACCCCGCCCACCCCAAGAGGAGAAAATGCTGTGGGGTGAAAACACGGTATAGGTCGCAGAGCCGCCGCAAGAACGCGGGGGATTATCATTATCCGTATTCTCCACCCAACAAGTCCCAAGAAACCTTTCCTCCATCATCAGCAGCAGTCTCCCAGCCCAGGAAACGAATCCTAGAGGAAGTACCAGGAACCTTTGGCTTCCATTGAGAGTCGGATTTCATCCATTTCGTACTGCCACTCCTCGGAAGGAAGGTTGGGCAATCCTACTTCCGTAGTGATACTGCCTCGGAAACCCAAGGAGGGGTCGCTATGAGTCGGGGCCGACTCAATGGCACATAACAACAACAGGCCAGAAGGGCAAATCTGCGGGCTCAGTTGTCACTACCAGAACTAACCTGTCCATGGCTATAGTCTTTCCACCGAGAGTCTCGTAAGCTTGATTCCAATTCAGCCACCTCGTTTTAGCCTTCCCGCTCTCCGGAAGTAAATCCTTAGACCCGGAAGCATATTCCGACGGAACCACCACTAGATGAGAGAAAAGAAACAACTCCCTCTAGCGCATGCTCGACTTCTTCCACCTACAGCATCTATTCCAGCCGGCGCAGGCGCGATGGTACACCTGCTTTTGACGGTAGCCCGCTGTTGTGCTGCAGTGCTTTTGGGCTACTAATGAAAAGGCGGTTTCAACCTACTAGCAGCTCTACGGCATAAAGATGACACAGTCGGCTTCCATAAAGATTTACAGCCTTGGAAACCTTATAGGTAGTTCTCTCTCCTATAGAGTCGCTATGAGTCAGAATCAGACTTGGTAGCAGTGAGCGGGACCTGACAAGGCTTAGCCTTGAGGAGTTGCCGCTGCTTTTCGTAACTGGCATTTGGGGCGTGGTCTGGGGACTGGGTTATCGTATTAAAGAAGCAAGTCAGCGTATATTGCTTGTTTAGGAAAATGTGAAATAATTTCCTGGTATTCTTGGTCAGAAAGAGCCAGGACTAGGAATTCAGACGTAGGAGGGCTTCCTGTATCACGGGGATCCCTGCGCACTCACCTCCTTGTTTGAATTGTGGTTTAACCCCTTAAAATTTTTGAAATTATTTTCCATAATATTTGTCTTTTACTTGGTATCTTTTTCCTGTTAAGGAGAAAAGGACCACGTATTTTTAAAAGTCGAAAAGCTGCATAAATGTGATGGTATTGCCCTCTATGTCAAGGTGCCTTCTACGCAAAAAAAAAAAAAAAAAAAAAGGTACTATTTCTGGTCCTGAACGGATCCATTGAAGTTTTGCGTTAGGCATTGAGCAATGCTTTTAGTTCTCCTGGAATCTAGATTTCTGAGGTCCATGGAGTTGGGATGACAGCACCCAGGTCATTGCTTTGAGATCTTTTTTTGAACTTTGAGCCTTGAAGAAACAGGTTTCTAAAAGTCACCTTGAGTCCGTGGTCTAGATTATAGTAAGACCGGTTTGCCTTGGGCATTGTGCTGTTTTGAAGAATTCAGTCAGTTTCAGGAAACACAGACGTCAAAGGTTAGAATAGAGCTATATTTTAGTGTATATCAGTAATTATTTTAATTGTTCTTCAAGACAATGCCATATTAAATTTTCCATGACCACAGATTGTTAATCAGTTCTTTTCCAGTCCTTTTTTCCATGGCATTGCCAATAAGATGGGGTATAAGAATCTTCGGAGGCTTTCTCAGTTCTCATCTTCAAGTACTCCCTAGTCAAAATGTTACCCAGATTTGCAAATTGGATATTGAATAAACTCATTCAATTCATATTATTGGCTTAATACGATTTTTGTCTTAACAGCAATTACATTCTAATCCTGGGAAGCCATCATGCCCTGGAAGGCCTCTGTCAGAGGTATACCTAAACTGTGGCAGCTATGGCATGTGCCAGGGGTGCCACTTGAAGGGAGGCATCATTGAGTAGTTTCCATTGCCAGCTGTGAGAGATCATTCAGGGTTAAAACATACTTTCATATATGAGAGCCTCTGTGGGTCAAGGCTAAGGCATTTGGCTGCTAACCAGGTCAGTGATTCAAACCTACCAGCTGCTCCAGGAGAAAGATGAGGCAATCTACTTTGGTAAAGATTTATAGCCTTGGAAATCCAAGGGAGAGCCGCCATGAGTTGGAATTGACTGGATGGCAGGTTTTTTTGTTTCTTTTTCTTCCTTTTTTTTAAAAGGCAGAGAAAGTGGGGAAAAAAATGACTTTAAGGGTATCATAGACCAGTTTTCATCAGTGAAAGCAAGGAAGGTCCAGTTGTAATTTTCATGTAGTGCCATAATGTACTAAGTAAAAGATTTTGAGTTTGACTTGTATTTTCAAGGTGATATTATGGTAGTGAGGATGACTTAAGGCACCTACTGATGAAGGTTGAAGAATACAGTCTGCAGTAAGGATTACATCTCAATATAAAGAAAACAAAAATCTTCACAACTGGACCAATAAGCAGCATCACAATAAATGGAGAAAAGATTGAAGTTGTCAAAGAATTCACATTGCTTGATTCTATAGTCGATGCCAATGGAAGCAGCAGTCAGGACATTAGACAACGTGTAGCACTGGGCAGGTCAGCTGCGAAGGAACTCTTTCAAGTGCTGAGGAGCAAGGATGTCTCCTTGAGGACTAAGGTGTGCCTGACACAAGCCATGATATTTCCAGTCGCCTCGTATGCACGTGATAGCCTGAAGAAGAGTTAGTGCTTTTGAGTTGTGGTGCTGGGGAAGAATGCTGAAAGTACCATGGACTGCTAAAAGAACTAACATCTGTCCTGGAGGAAGTGCAGCCGAAATGCTCCTTAGAAGCGAGAATGGCCAGACTTCGTCTCACCTACTTTGGTCATGTTGTCAGAAGGGACCATTCCCTGGAGAATGATGTCATGCTTGGTAAGGTGGAGAGTCGGTGAAAGAGGGGAAGGCCCTCAATGAGATGAATTGACACGGTGGCTGTGACAATGGGCTCAAGTATAGCAAGGATCATGGAGCTGGCGTGGGTTCGGGCGATGTTTCGTTCTGCTGTGCATGGGGTCACTCTGAGTCAGAAATGACTTGACGGCACCTAACAACGACATTATGGTAGTTATCTGAAAGATGAATGTCACATGTGTGGACGCGCACAATTTCAGTGCTTGCCATAAACACTGTTTTCCTCGATATATGCTGGGCCTCTCCATGCTTTCTCCAGCCTGAGACATCATGGCGTTTTAGTGTTCCTTGATATAAGCTTGAACTCTCTTGAAGATTCCTCATGGGTGGTATAGAGATAGAACCTCTATGCATAGAGTTATTGTGAGGATTAAAAGTGAGATGGCAAATTTACAGTGCACATAGAAGATCACTGATATGTTAATTTCCTCCTCCTTCAGTAAGAAAGGAGCTCTGGTGATACAGTGCCTAAGGCATTTGAGTGCTAGCCAGAAGGTTGGTGGTTCAAAGCCACTAGCTGCTCCATGGAAGGAAGATGGAGCAATCTACTTCCGTAAAGATATACTGCCTTGGAAATCCAAGGGGGTCACTATGAGTCAATCACACAGTGGCAGTGGGTCTGTTTTTTCCTTTTGGTCAGTAAGTAACACTTGATGAGTCACACCTTTGTATTCTCTCACCACCTAATTTTTTCTCACCTGATGCTGCCCACCTCCTAATTTTCCTGTACAACAAATAGCGCACTTGTTCTTTCAAGGAAAATGAAACGTCGTCCTAAGTGATTTTTGTCAGTGTTGAGGCAAGTTTATTCAAAGTGTGAGCCAGTGGTTCAGGTTCTTGCCACACATCCCTTGACAATTGAATTCCAATGTGTTTTATTCATATAAGGTGTACTTGAAGTAATTGACCATAAGGCACATAAGAAAAATGATTAACCCTACATTCAATTCATATTCAAAGACAGGAAACTGGGGTTCACTTTTGACACATTTTATTAGTAGGCAGGAACACTGTGGTGACCCCCAAACATTTCAAATTATATTCATTGATTGCCTTAAAACTATGTAGAATGAGCTTGTGTGGTATATATGTTATGATATATGTTAGTTTTATATTTAGGGTTCTTGGTTGCAATTATGGAAATTCACTGTCACTGACTTAAGCAAAAGGGAATTTACTGGAAGCATATCAAGTTACAGAATTAAGAAGCTGACAGAAAGGCTTGAGGAACCCGGACAGCTAAGGACCAGGAAGTAGCTATATCAAAGGTGCTCAAACTTCAACAGTCTCATCTGGAGCAATGCTTCCTCCTCCTTTCCCCTACTTCCAGCAGCAGCAGGACTCAAAATCGTTGCTTTTTTTTTTTTTTTTTCTCTCCACCTTTTTATTTTGAGAAATTCCAAACTACAGAAAAGCTGCAGAAATAGCTCAGTAGACATCCACATACATTCTTTACCTAGACTAATCACTAACATTTCCTCAGATTTTCATTCGAGCTTGCTTTTTCTCTTTTTCTGCTGAACCATTTAAAAGTTAATTGCAGACATCATGACGCTTTACCCCTAACTACTTCAACATGCATCTCCTAAAAACAAGAACAAGACATCCTCTTACATCATCACAATGATATTTTCACTCAGAACTTTTAACATTGACAGAACACCATAACTAACATATTCACATTTCCCCAAATGTCCAAATAATATCATTTATAACTGCCACATGATGCATTTAGTTTTTGTGTCTCTTTGCTCATTTTAATTTAGAATAGTCTCCCAACTTTTTTTTCCTTCTAAATTATTTTGAAAATTCTGGTGAGTTTTGTAGAATGTCCTTCAATTTAGTTTGTCTGATTGTTTTCTCATGATAAAGATAAAACAAAAATTTTCTGAGAGGTTCAAAAGTACTACACAGGTTCTGTTAAGTATTTCTCACTTAATCACATCAGGTAACACTTGAGATCAGTTTGTTTCAGACTCAAAATCAACCGAGCCCCACCTGCCCACCTCCAAAAGAAACCATTTTTTCACCTGGTGCTCCTTTCTAGCTGCTGTCTTTGCTCCTTCCATTCTCAGTCAAACTTGTTTGGGTAGATTTTAAATAACTGTAATTGGTTTTCTTACTGTATATCCGATAGATATGTCCATTACAAAGAGATAATAAAATAGACATAAGCAAAAGGGGAAATTAAAGAATTCCCACAATCCTGTTAATTGTGGTGTTAGGCGCTGTAGAGTCAGTTCCAACTCATAGAGACCCTGCATACAACAGAACAAAACAGTGCCTCGTCCTGCCCCATCATCACAATTGTTCAAATGTTTGAGCACATTGTTGCAGCTGCTGTGTCAATCCATCTCGTTGAGGGTCTTCCTCTTTTTCACTGACCTTCTACTTTACCAAGCATGATGTCCTTCTCCAAGGACTGGTCCCTCCTGGTAACATGCCCAAAGTATGTGAGACGAAGTCTGGCCATCCTCGCTTCTAAGGAACATTCTGGCTGTACTTTTTCCAAGACAGACTTGTTAGTTTTTCTGGCAGCCCATGGAATATTCAATATTGTCTGCCAACA